TCTATAATGCTACGTAGGGACCTTACAACTAGTGGAATTAGACAGGGCAGGAAAAGACATAAGAATATGATAAACACTACTCCTCCTACTAATGTCTTAATTCCTCCAAGCTGCCCATACCAACTTCCAAACCAACTACTTAGGTTATACCCATTCCAGACCTGAGTAGGTACATGCTCAAATTTAACCATGTGGCTTGTAAGTTCAGCCACTGCCTGCCCTTCATCATCTATGTGCAGACAACAGTTACTTAGATTAAACTTTCCGCATACACCTCCTTCTACTGCTAGTAAGTAATCAAGGGCTAGCCTATTCTGGTATATGGCTGATCACATCTTGGTATTTTGCCTAGCTAGAAGATTAAGCACTTGAGCTGTCTCATTAGTAATAATCTCAACTACCGCCTGTAGTCTAATAATGCGGTTGAGCATATATAATCGGAGTTCTATATCCATAAGTGCCATCTTCTGCCCAAGTAGTAGGTCCATAATAATTAATAATACGTTGAGGGGGCCACTCATTATCTTCCCAGCTACCTATATTCAAGGATGCTCTCTCCCTTTTATGATTTACATCGTAAACCTTAACTCCCAAGGTCTCTCCTGTTTCGATTGGCAACAAGAAGAAGGATGGCTTTGGCATACCTAATACACATGCCCCTTCCCAATCTTGTGGTAACTCCGAATAAGTTTTCTTACTACAGATCCAGTATAAATTTGCTGGGGCTTTCCAACTAGATGTAGCCGATAAGTCAAACCATACCTCCCTTAAATGAGTGTAATTGGCAAACGGATTAGTAGGCTCCGAGACATTTGAAGCTGACCACCAAGTAGTATTTTTAGTATTAACATTATAGGCTTTTTGTCCCAAGCAAGTTAGCTCACCTACAGACGTGTTATACATTGTCCCTTTCCTGGCTATACAAACATGACCTATAATGGAGGTTTTTAACCACCATTCCAATTTACTTCTAGTACTTACTTGATGATCAGACTGGAAAGGTATCTGTTGTTCATATGTCTCAGAGCCAGGGTACCATATTTCCTTTGCCTCCCATGGCCACTGGTCTCCCATATTAGTACCTCCACACACATAGCAATTAGTTACATTAAGACTACCTGCAATACCCTCAGCCAAATCAATAAATAGGTTGTTAACATTATGGGGAATTTTATCCTCAATACTCATCTCCTCATAGAAGGAATGAGAAACCTGATGAGTTTGAGTTGCCACTGTCTCAGTTTCAAGACCTACATATATTATTGTTCCTGAATCTACTCCTGTGCCATATATTTGAAACCCAAACAGACCTCCAAACCTGTCAATAAAGTACTGCAGATTGGAAATGGTCATGTGAACGGGGTTACACACATAGTTTTACAGTATGGTGTGGTAGGCAACCTTTGGATAATCATATCTTGATCCACTGTTTTTCCCAGGTTGCCCAACCTACACATGACAAATAGGGGCAGAAGTTAGTCTCTATTTGGGCAATCAGGATCAGTAGATCTTATACTGGGACATAAGTATTTATCATTAAACCCATAAGTTCGTTCCCATTTAAGATTACCACATACATTCCAAAGTCTTCCACTACCCGAAATCGCCTTACATGCATCAAATAGTAGAATACCCGCGGAATGTATGGTGCTTATCACAGTCCTATTTAGTAATGTCCCCTGGGAGTTACTATTCCGAATTACCAACCAAATTGTACGGGGTTGGAAATGGGGATCAAAACATTTAGACTCTCCTGATATTGGCTTGCACACACTATAATCAATATCCAAATATCTACATTTAGATACAGATCCCTTACATTCATACTGTGAGTGCCAGATGAGAGTTTGGGATATTTGGTTACCTGTTTTAGTAGTCTTAATGCAACTATCGCAATTCGGTATGTCTGTACTCCTACCTTCCTGAAAAATCATAAAAATACTAAGACACAATAAAACACATTATTCCTGAAATCCTAATTTTTCTTCGACCGTGCGATGGCCTCTCAGCTTCCCAATTGTGAGGGCTGCAAGGATGTTGTTCTTCTGATCCTCACTTTCCTTCACAGAGATCCCTTCAAGATACTCTGGCTATGACACGTAGGCAGGTGGTCAGGCTTTATTATGGCCGTCAAAACACCTACTTGATGATCTTTGTAGACTTTTAACTAGAATGTCTCGCTATCCCCTCGTCACTCCGACTGAGTTGCACGCTTCAACCGGGTCCTGCAAGGATTCTCAGGATCTGGAGTAGCTTGCCAAGAGTCTGCTGCTGGTTTAACCTTAGAATGATGAATCCAAGGAGTCACTTCCGCCACCTTTACAGCTGTTGGGGTAGATAAAAGAACAACATACAAAGGCTAACAGGATACACCCCGAGCTTTAACTCAATATGTATTGGTGGGATATTACGAGCAAGTCCTGGAGGATTATTTTCTTCCCATACTCCTGGAATGTCAAATAAGGATTCATCACTCTTAGGGTTAACACTTGTCACTATGGAATAGAAGCGTCATTCTTCTTCCCTTGGCACCGATATCGCCATTATGCCTGGTAATCCCTTAAACTTCAGAGATGTTAATCCATTAGGTAAAAGGTTATCTGAGCTTAAAGCTTCGATAATAGATCTCGTCCTAAAAGTTGAATCGAACACTCTGGCATATATAGGAACTAATGCTTCACCACATGGCCTCCCAGAATACAAGTGCGACTCTTAAGAACCGGTCTAGCTGCACTTCTCCCAGTAGCTCCTATCACAGTTATAGTCTTCCCCGAAGGCGGAGCCACCATCTTAGTCACCACAGAATGTTCAGCACCTGTGTCGATCATGAAAGAACTTCTCTTTCCCCCTATTGCTACATCGACCATAGGCTCCGCTCGACCAAGTGGGATGGAGCCCAGTCGGTATCAATAGTTTTCCATGATAGTGTCAGCCAGACCCACAAAATCTCTATCCTCTCTTTCTCTAGGTCTCTGCGTGGGTGGATAGTATCTGTCTCCTTGAACACTTCCTCTACTATTCCCATCATTCCCTCTAAAACTTCCTCTATAACTACCACTATAACCTCCTCATACCCTTCTCTCTCCTTGTCTATCACCTTCATACTGCTCTCTCTGTGGACACTCACTCTTCCAATGTCCCTCCTTTCTACAATACGCACATTAATTCCTACTTAAAGTCCCTTGCTCAGCCTATTCTCGTCTCCTCTATTCACTTCCCTGTCTTTCTACACTTAAGATAGCTACCGCTAGCATATCTGCCTTTTTCCTCATTTTACGTTCTTCCTCCGTCTCCCTATTCATATATACTGTATTTGCAATCTCCATTAGCTGTAATATGGACATCCCTACAAATCCCTCTAATTTCCTGTAATTTCCTTTTACTATCACCTTGGGCCTGGCTGACAAATGCTGAGTCTATCATTCGGAAGTTTTCAGGGGCCTCCGGATTAAAGGGAGTATACAACCTATTTGACTCAAGCAGTGTCTAATATGGGACTTCGGCAAGGCTGCCCAATAATAGGTTCCAGTCTATGAGTAGTAAGATAGGTGTAAGGGGGTGAGCTAATTTTATTAGTCAGCATTTGGTGGATGAAAAAACGTTTTTGTTTAAAGTGTTAAACCAAAAACCTACCAGTAGGTGTCACCAGAGGGTAATTGTATCAAAATAATCTTTATGGGTCTAATAAGAAAACTCAACTTTTAATATATTTATACATAAAATAAAACCTTATAGCAATAAATATATTAAAATAGGGTAAGCAATCCTACATCTATCTGTTATAAACAATGTATTATCAATGTAACTCCCGAAGATGGCCAGTAGGTGGCTTAGAGTGCCTCCCTAAAGTCAAATGAAACAAATAGACTTTAATTAATTATGTCCTATTTTATTATTACTTATTTTAATCACTGTCCACCCTGCTAGCTAGGCTTGATTAAATCTTTAGTTCTAAGGTAAATTAAACATTTCAGTTTGTAGTTTAGTAAAAGGGGACATTTTGGACAAAGCTGGGAGGGGCCCATCCAGTAACTAAAATAAAGACCATATATCATCTGATACCATTGATCATTGATTAGGGGGAGGGGTAGTACAGAAATACAAGAGTTTGAAACACAGGAACAGATAGGTATGTGGGTAGGCGGGGACAGTAGAGCAGGGGGAGTGCAAATACTGATTATACCAGCCAGAAATGGGCGTGGCTAATCTGGCTCTGGAGGATGTTTGGGGGGTTGGTAATCAGATGCCAGGGGGGGGAGGGGATGTCCAAAGCAGTTGTAATTAAGTCCTTAGTTCTGACCACCATATGGCTACATTGTTTCCCATATGACACAGTTTAATTCACCAAGGCAATTTTTCAACAATCAGTTTCCAACAGTCAATTTATAGAAACTGATCATAGAATTCCAGCCTACTAGTTACAGCCACATGTACACCCTGCACTAAATTTAAGTGAAGACTGCTACATGGAGGCCATGCGGCCACCAGGACAAGCTACTCCCTACTTTTTTTTTTTTTTTTTAAACATACAAGACAAAGCCTTGTGAATCAGAAGATTATTTCAACAGAGCATCTGATTCAAAAAGCTGTACAAATATACACACAGTTTCAACAGTCACACCAATCTCCTTATCACCAGCAACACATTGCGCAGTCACTAGGCCCAAACACACACACAGGATCCTCACATGCTCAACAATATCACGACGTCGCACACACGAAATTAAATCAAAAACCCACCAAAGACTATACACTTATCAATGTAACTATTATTCAAACCATACAACTATCCACGCTATTAATCCATATAAACTAACCGATCACATAACATTTCAACAGATTTCATCTCTACAATTATCTGTACTATAAATCAACTTTTGACTAACCAACGATATCACATTCTAGTAACCTCATCTTTACAGTCAGTGGTTATGGTACAGTTAGTAAGTGGTTATAATACAGTTTTAAAGTCACAGATCAGTTAGTAACAGTTATGGTATTATACATATAACATAAAACAGCAATTGTTAGTAATTTTTACACAATGTCAGTGGTTATGGTACATGTCAGTAGTTATGGTACCGTGCGCTATTTTACAGTTATACACATTTACACTCCCACTAGACAGCAGAGCTCTAACTTTCTAGTAGGACATACAAGTTAACCAATTCACCAACTACAATATATTTAACAACATTTACAATAATCCCAACTATTCTAACTGGCCAGCACCTCGAGAGCTTTCGATCTATTTATACACCAGAGATTCGATAAGTTCTTCGCTGCCCAGACACCACGTATAGCGAACTAGAGGGCAGAATTTACACAGTACCCAGCTAGTCTATTAAACTATCAATAAGCTAGT